AAAAAAAAAAAATGAATAGTGAGCAGAAAGCATTATATACAGTTACACACCATTTTACTCTGCAAAACATAATGAACACAGTTTAACTATTATACATCCATTTACATTGCCTATTGTGGAGTTTAATGTTGGTGTCAGCCAAAACTTGGTCTTTAATCATCTGCAAACCAGTCACTGCTTCTATCACGTTAATCCTCTCGTTAGGCGACACTTCTAAGCATCTCATCGTCAAACAAAAAAGGGACAAGACACATTCTTTTTGTCACATCGAAATGTCGATGATCCTCGCTCGGTAGCAACCGGGGTCCACAATGTCACTTGCTGATCGTAATGCTTCGTGGACCCATTCCTTTAAGCTCAGTTCTTCATGGAAAAATTCGTCGGTCGGCCTCTTGCTCGTGAAAATCTCGAGAAGACATTAAATATAGGTATGTCTCTGTATCTGAGTAAGGGGAAAAACAAAAGAAAATGCGAATTAAAAAGTAATGGCCATTGATGACCTTGGAATCTCTCTCATCCTGCATGTGAGAAAAAGGCTCGCCTGTGGGGACAACGTAAATGGAGCAATGGCTGAGCCTTCTGTGACCTACTCAACCGTGAGGATTTTCTTCGGGGCTCAGGAACAGAAAGTGGTGCCAGTGTTCAGTGAAAGATCGATTGCCAGCTCATGTAACTTCACTATAGAGCTGGTGTACTTATATTTGTTTGCTTGTAGAGAGGATGGATTTTGATGTGTTTGTGTATTAGTGGTCATGAAAAAAGATTCGACAAGGAATTAGCTAGTGATTCTGTTTGTTTTGTGGTTTGTTAATATGAAGTTTTGTGGTCATATCCTAATACTAATGAAATATAGAAAGAGATGTTTCTCTCTCTCTCTACACATTCATTACGAAATGGAAAGGAAAAAGGAAATGTAAAAACAAAGATAACAAAGAGATTCCAAAGTTCCTCTCTCAAGAAACAAACTTGTGTTAATTCAAGAATATTGTCTTGCCAAAGTCACTTGACATGCACACAGATCCTTCTCGGATAAAGATAAATATACGACCCGTTTAATGAATCTAAGCAATCAACGTTCGCGCCAATTTATCTAAGAGAAATTGAACGTACATTAATTTGACTGACATCCACCCCTTTTTCCTTCAGGAACTCTTTTGCTTCAAGAATATCCTTCAAATAAATAAATAGGCTGTAAAATTCGCTTTTTCAACCTAAGCATAAATGAAACCAGCAAATCATGAGTAAACAACCATCACAATTCTTATATCACAGACCTGTTGCAATAGAATGGCTTCATGCGGGCAAGTCGGAAATCGCATCAAACCAACTCCGACCATTAATAAGCCATAGCATCCGAGTGAAACGATGAGGTAGAGAGGCAGCTGTAATAAAATTATACACAATGGTAAGAAAAAAAAGTTGAAGTGTAAAAGTGAAAATGCATCAGTACAAACGCAATGAGATGGAAAGCTCACCAACCAAGTATAGATCTCTTGTGCTACCGAAGCCCGTAATAGGCTAATCCAAACACCTGAAAAGGCTGCCAGCATCGACGTAATCTTCACAATGTGCCTCATTGAGTCCCAATTCCTAAATTTTCAACCTCAAGGATTATTGCTTTCTTAGGCACCTTGAACAAGTAATGCGAAATGCATTTAATTGGCAAGAATTCGTAAAAACAGTAGAAGAATAAAGCACTTAAAAACTGAAAAAAATCCTAAAAAAAAAAAAAAACTTAGATTTGGGCCCATCGAAAACAGGCTTTTTGTGTTGATTGTACTGCCATCTGGAGGATATGTATGCCAATTATGACATTGCCCAACACACGAAAATCGGGTAGAGGATACTCGAAGCCCTTGTGCTGTTCCCCAAACATCATAAGAAAAAATTCAATTCATCATAAAGATGCATTCGTCTAGCAAGCATGATAGTGAGATTGTGAATGCCCTGACAATCATTCCTACTCCACAAATTAGATCACATAAGCTGATTGCACTGCCATCGGAAATGGTACGAGTAAGCTAATTATTTCAACGTCTCGCCTGAGAATATTAAAACAAGAGACTCAAAGCCCTTGCGCAATCTCCAAAATATCACATGGGTTCTACTCATTCCGAAAAGAAAGTTACCTAACAACCACATCCTAAAATGTTGAATTTGCGAAAACAAAAATGACATGATAATAACTCATAATCTACAGCTTATATAACACTAACCCACAATCACAATCATCATCGTTCTCATAGGCAATGCAAAACAAATATAGTATAATGACAAATAACATGCATCCTACTTTCCTTGGATCTACACAAAGCCTACAGGACAATACAAATTGATCAATTCAACTTATCATGTTTTTTTTTTCTCTTTAAGAAGGACCACAAATTAAGCACCACTAAATCGAGTTTAAAATGTCCATTGAAAATGGAGCTGAAAGAGTCATTGTTGACAATGGCATAGTGTTAATAATGGACTAGACCAAAATGGCTCAATATTTTCTAGAAAAAATATATCAAACGACGCAATACACCTTGGGTCGCTACGGAAACAGTCTCCTTGTAAATCAAGTTTAAAAGAAAAAAAAAAGCATAAGCTAACAAACTAACATATAAAAAAACAAATCTTTAGTCAGGCATATAATCGCCGATGAGGTTTAGACATGATCAATCGACAGGAGATTCAATACATAATAGCCCACCATTCGTTTAACAGATATCTGATATCATGAGAACCTAATACGTTTCAAAAGCTTTAAGAGCATGACGAAACAAGATCTGAATCAACAAGCTGCGGGGATGCAAAAGGAAAATCGACAACTGATTTTCAGAAAGGTTCTTACTTTAGAGAAGACAGATAACAGAAAGTCCGAAATATTGATGTCTGTCGGCTTTCTTGTTAGAGCTTCAAAGCGACGGCGGCGCTGTGGCGGATCGAAGGTGGTTCCACGCGGTGGAGATAGCGAGGCTGTCAGATGGGCAGGTGCCAGGTACTTATTTACTTTCTACCATCTACAATGCATTTGGTCTAATCTTGACAACGTGACATGTAAGTAAATTCAAGTTTTAGATGACATGGATAAAACTATGTAGAATTAATAAAATTCACTCTAATGCAAAGAGACGAGGTCTCTACTTGGGTCTAAAATGGACTTAAGGGTAGACTGAATCTCTTTTTCTGACTGTCACATCAGCAAGACTCAGTCTACTTTTATTTGCATTGAAAAATACATTTTTTAAAATTGGGTCTATTTCTTAGGTGGCATATAATTTATTTGTGGTTGAACCCAGAATATAGTAGATGCTTACCGTAAAGAAATGAAATCATTGAAGTGAAAATTAAACATTATTTACCGTTTTATTGTATTTATTCTGATAGGTCTCCTCTTGAATCTGAAGTAAATCGATTGAAATGAGTTTCGATTTGTCTGAACTGCTTCTAAATTGTCACTAACATCTGCAAGAACTCAACGTCGGAGGAATTTCCAGCGTAGAGCCTACGATGCTTAAGTCAGTATCAGGAAAAGAGGAGATGCTATGCAGAGAACAGCAGCAAGATATGAAATGTGTAAAGAATGTGAAAGTTAGAGTTTGGTGTTACCTTAACCTCTTTTGTAGAAGAAAATACTTGCCCAAAATGCCCCGATTCACCGGCCCGATTGCTCGGTTTTATCCATATCCTAATTACTTTTTAGTCAGATCTCAGTCAGCTTAAGATTCTATCTTATCCTTTAAAGATTCATCATGATCCATTAAACCTTTGAGTACTGAAGTAGTTGTGTTATCATGTGCGTCGAGCTACGAGGCGTAGGAAGTCGACCTCGAGCAACGGGAGGTCGACTTAAAGTTAATATACATATGAAGTATATCATGAGGTTTTACTACTTGCCCTCGAGTTGTTCTTTCTCCCTTAAAAGTGATAAGTCAACTTCGAGCTAAGATGATGAGGTCGACCTCTGGCTATACAATTAGCGAAGTCGACCTCGAGGTATGGGTGTCGATGATGAACTATCATAGTGGTAGAAGGTCGACCTCGAGCTGTTCACGATAATAAGGGAAGATGTCGTCGTCCCTGTGCTTGGCTTCGGCCTTCTATCAACGCCCTTGAATTGTTTATTAGTGTCACATCCTTGAACTGTTCATTAGTACCATATCATGAGATAGGACCCTCCTTCAGGTCGCTCTCATGATTACGATTCGTCGCCCTCAAGTCGTTGCCACTTAGTCATCAGTCGACCTGGGATGTTGTACCTTGCTTTAGTTGACATACCACTAGTTCGATTTGACATCTGCTTGAGCTACTAATACTTAACCGGTTTATCGTCATATGATTATATCATATTGAAAAAAAAAAAATTTAAAAACTACATTATATTATGTGCAAGTGCAACAGTGATATTTACAATATGAATAAAAGAAAATACCATTCTACATTTAGAAGTTTACCAAGAAGAAAAAGGAAAAAAACTAAACTCCCAAATGTGTTTTCCATGAATATTTAGTACTGTTTGAAATTTTAGATGTGACTAGAAGTGTTATTTCAAGCCCAAGCAAGCATTTCGTATTTAAACGCATATGGCTCGACTCGAATTCGGGGCATTAAGTTCATGAAAGCTCGGTTATGCGTTCGGAAATATGTTCTTCTCTATTGTTTGTTCCAAAAAAACTATAAGAAATTTTAAAAAGGAAATGAAGTGGATGCTCACAAACGAGCTCGACTTGACTCGATTCATTTAATAAACAAACTCGATTAATCATTCGAGTTCAACGTGAAAACGAACAAGTCAAACTCGAGTTTTCACGATACAAATCGAACTCAACTATTTCTTGTTTTTTTTAAAAAAAATAATAATTTCACCACAAATTTAAAGCTAGCCGTTTCATCTATGACCCATCAAGCGGTTTTAACTTTCAAGACTCATTTCAAATTCCCACATAAATCCCTCCCCTTCCATTTCAAGAACTCAAAATATTCAAGAACCCACACAAACCCACAAACACCTCTCACTCTCTGCGCAACAATGGCTGAGGATCAAGAACTCCCAATATCCAAAGAAAGGGAAATCCCAGTTTTCACAGTCCTGAAAAACAACTGCATACTCAAGAACATCTTTCTTCTGGACAACCCTCCATCAATTCAGGAAAATGTCAGCCGGGAGTCGGAAATGGAGGAGATATTGGTCGTGGGAAGGCACCCGGATTGCAATATAAAATTGGAGCACCCGAGTGTCAGTCGATTTCATCTTCGCATTCACTCGAAACCCGATTATCGATCTCTTCATGTGACTGATTTGTCCTCTGGTAAATGATCTATCTTCTTTCCTTTTCCTGTTTAGTTCTTTGAGTTTCTTACACTCTGTGTGTTTGCGTGTGTTTTCGTGCTAGTGGGTTTTCTCTGTTCACAAATTCTGATTGTTTATGCCCATTTTCGTGTTCCTTTCTGATTATCCGGGTTTTTGCTCTATGTGATTGTGAATCAGCACTACGTACCTTTTTTTTCCAAAATTTTATTAGGTTCTCAACAGAAACCATAGAATTTGGATGAATTTTTAGTCGGTCTAATCGATTAATGCGTGGCGTGGAGCATGTTTTTACATGTAAATCACTTGGCTTTATCTGGATGTTCACCTTTTAAATCCATGGCTTTTGCTGGTGGCATTGTGATGGTTGTTGCATCTATCAAGTTTCAACTGCTGAGTTTTTTGTAGTTGTTTTTTTCATTTATTATGTTACCTTTTCAGTTACCTATGTCCTGTTTTTCTTGATTTGATTTATACATTTTTATTTTTTGTTTTCAATTTACTCTTGTTCAGTACATGGGACTTGGATTTCTGGAAAGAGAGTGGAGCCAGGGGTCATGGTGAAACTAAACGAGGGTGATACTTTACGACTTGGGGCATCGAGTAGGCTGTACAGGCTAGATTGGGTTCCAATCAGCCGTGCTTATGACATAAACGACCCGTTTGTGCCTCAATTGGTCGAGGCCAGTGGTGTACTGGAGGAAGAACCAGATAAAGCAACAGATCAGGTCATTGTCTTAAGAATTTTACTCGAAAGAATGTCTTTTCACAAAAGTACTTGGAAAATCTTGGGTTTAATGTTTCTCATTCTTTATTTGGGTTATTTTTAAAATTTTCTTTTTTCGGGATCAGAACACATTGTTTGATAGAAGTGATCAAGTTGAGACTATGGGGGATAATCTGGAAGGCCTAGAACGGCTATTTTCAATTTCGGATGAGGATTTTGGTTCTTCTGTTCGAAAAACGAGTTCTGTGATGCCTCTAGTGTATGAAGACTTGCACGATTCAGCTCCCACTGAGGAAATAGAGAAATATAGTTTACCTGGATTGTATAGTCAAGAAAATGATATCTGCATTAGCCAGCCATGTAAATTTGAACAAGAAAACGGCACCCCTGGTGATCTGCTAGAAACTTCTGAGGGTTCTAGGATGAACTCAAAGAAAAAATCAGGTATTAACATTTGGTCAAGAAGGGGCAAACCTGAAAGTGTCGGAATTGAGACCAGCCGATTCAGAGGAAAATCTGCAAGAATCAGCAAAAGCTTGCAGATGGAAAAGTCTTTTATGGATGAAAATCAAAAGAATGAATCAGTTCCGGTGTATGTTGACGATGAAGAAGAAAGTTTCACAACGCCGGATAAGGAAAATGTCTTTCCCCATTCTCATCTATTCAGAGACTCAAGGAGCGAAAAGGGAGAAATATTGAAGAATGAGTTGGTTTTGAGCACACCAGTCTCTAGTGTGGACCCGGATGAAGAAATTTTCACTCCAGACAAAGAGAATATGACTCCAGGAAGTCGTCTACTTAGGTCCATGAAGAATATTGCAGGTAAAAATCCTAGTTCTTCACACAGATCATCGCCCTTGAAGAAAACGTATAACAGCAACATGTATCGAGAGGAAGCCAGCCAGTGTAAGAAAGTGTTCCGGGAATGGAAATCGACAAATTCTGGTTTTAAAAGCCATGGTAGCTCGAAAAGAGAGTTGGCTTTGTCAAAGGGTAGAGCAAATAGGGAACCCTTTTGCCCTTTGCCTCTGGAATCTCCTGGTGACTGTAAGAGCAAACCAAAACCTTCAGTCTGTGAGCATAATAACACCACAGGAGGTAGCGTTGAAGATGTAAATTTCTCAAATGTAAGTTAATCGGCTTGTTTTTTGGTATGTTTAGAAATTGTCCTAAATTTGACTTGTTGAGATGATGTAACTTTATATTTTTGTGATGAGGCAAAACCTGAGTGGCCCGTTCTCTCAATGATTTTTCAAATTTCGCAACTTATCTGCATCTTCTGACAATTGTAAAACAAATTTTGCAGAACAATACTACAAAAGTGGCAAAAATCAAATGGGTTATTGTAGTCGACACTGCATGCTTGCTGGACAAGAACTCGAGAAAGGAACTGCATTTGCTGCGTGGCCTTCCAGGGACTAATCTAGTTATTCCAAGGATTGGTAAAAGTTCTCTTTTTTCATAAATTTTGATAAACTCGTCCAATATTTATCTTAAACTTTTTCTTTCCTTGTACTTAGTTGTGAGAGAACTCGACTGCATGCTAAGACGTGGAGATTTCTTCACTAGAACAAGCGAGGTTTATGCAGCACTACAATTTATCGAAGAAAGCATGGGAGTTGCAAAATGGTGGATTAGCGTGCAGAGCTCGATTGAGGAAGTCGGGCTTCTACCACCAACCCCACCTGCTTCTTCTTCATCTCCTCATTGGTTTGGTGAGGACAAATGGGCTAGCTCCGTTGGCTCGACTCCATTTTTCCCTTGTAGCTTGATGCAGGAGATCGTGACCCCAACTGCTGGGGATCACATTCTTGATTATGCGCTTTGCTGCAGGCGAGTTAGGAAAGATGGACAGCTCGTCCTTCTTTCGAATGATGTTACTCTGAAGATCAAGGCTATGGCAGAGGTGAGAAAATAACCAACACAAGATTTTTCATTTTAATTGCATTTGCAATTTGTTCGAATATAACTGGAGATTTTCTTTAACTAAGCTGAACTTTCAGGTTATCATCTTTCAAAATTTATATTGTCAATATATTTGGTGCAGGGAGTCTTGTGCGAGACAGCCCAAGAGTTCCGTAGGAGTCTTGTGAACCCGTTCTCAGCTCGGTTTTTGTACACCAATTGTTCCCCTATCGGGCCCACTTGGTCGTGTGAGGATGATATTGTGCTCAAGGAGAAGTATTACCCGAGCCCTTCAAAGAAGGCGACTCGATCAAGTGAAGGTGGTGGTGGTGTGAAGGGCTTGAAGCTCATATTGATGCATAACTCAAGTTTCAGGCAGATCAGACCTGTCAGCTAAAAACTCACTGGCTTTATGGAAAATTATATGATTTGATTGAAAGTATGCCTTTTTTTTATCTGAATTTTTTCAGACATTGAATGTGTTTCAGTTTCTTTGTCACCTTTAAAAAGAGATGATGTGTATATACTCAGAAGCTTATGTCATTCAATTCAGTGAAATCTACTTCTCACTCTCTCATTCCTTCTCTGTTTTGTGCCTCAACATATGTAATTGAAAAATAAACAGTAGTTTTCATTTTCATTAATGCAAAGAAGAGATGTAATGGAGTTACATGATTCTGAGTACAAGCCTTTGTGTAAGAAAAACTATACTAAAAACATGGCTGCTTGTGCATAAAGCCACCATAATTCAAACATTATTCATAAAAACACCAAACTACACCACAAGAACATCCATCACCTTCCCACACTACTCCATACCGTTCGAGCACCCACCATCCTTCGGGTGGTAATTGCACGAGCCCGTGAGCAGAAAAGAGAACGAGCTATCCGAGTCCTCAAAAGGAGGCCTCGGAAAATCACTAAACCCCCCAATGCTATCCGTCTCAAAACCCAAAGGCGAAAAATAAGCAATCGAATCTCCTCCTGAACCTTCCAAATCCATCACAACATCTCCACACGCGCCACTACTCGGACCCTCCGCCTTGCAACCGAATTCAACCTGCTCGATTTTGTTAGACGGCCCTTGAAACCCTTTACAGTCCTCGACGGGTATAGCCGGCGTATGCCCTTGAAACAGCGCGATATGGCCGAAAAGC